CCTACTATGACTCTTTTGACTTAACAGTGAGAGTATAACGGCTTTGTGTATAAGTCCCGAAACCTACCGTTTTAGTTCCCAGTACTTTTTAGTTGCCACCACACCCTTTTCATTCCATAGCATTCCATATGATACTTTTCCAGTCTTACCATTTTCATGCTTTTCATTGCATTCATTATTTTATCTATACATAACTCACCACCTCCTTCCTTTTGCTTAGATGTTTCTGATTCATTTATACAAGTTTTAAAGTAGTTCTTTCACCTTTTAAAAACTGATATTTCAGCATTAAAAATACATCCATTCTCGTATAGCCATTTTTCATGCTAGGCTCTTCTGACTTTGCCCTAAGAGTTTTGACGAGTTCCCAGAACATTATGATATTTCTTGCAAATTATCAGTTAGTATTCTATGATTACTTTTCTTTCTTTTTTTGCTTCTCTCTTCCTTTTATACCTTCCAACTAAATTATAGACAAACGCAAAACAGAACAAATAAACAAGACAAATATAGCTAAGTCCTAGCCATTAACACGTTCACTGCGAAACGAGGCTTGAAACACCTCGTCCGTGCCTCGTCGTTATAGCGGTAAGGAAAAACTTAAACTTCTCTGTCGTGCGAGAGGCGTAACTTCCATTTGCTTCAGTCTAGGAAAGAGATAACTATATATCTGAGATGTGCTATTGATGGCGAGTTTTTTGGTATATCTACCTTAATACCGGATTTTTTGGGCCTCGTACCGCACTGAATAAATTAAAGTTTAAAACAGTGCGTTACGAGGTTGCGAACACCTCGTACCCCGCACACCTCGTACCGCACCCTACACTAGCTTTACGCGGTTAGTGTTGTGCAAAACGTTGAACGCTGCACCCGCGACGATATAATAAGATGTCGAAACGTTGCCGAAGAAAGTTAATTAATAATATTATTGATGATGAAGAGGAATTGGGTGGTAAATCTAATTCTAAATTAACGATATTTGAAAAACAGGTAAGTTTCCAATCAATATTTACAAATTATACTCAGTCTGAGTGAAATAATTATGTAGGATTATAACAAATAAATTCAACTGACAAAAGCAAAACACACACAGGCCGTAACGATCCCATACTTCTGTAAAGAAATGCTCCAATAAATCGCTACACCTAATCAACCCGCTTCAAAAATACACTATCAGTTTTTTTTTCAGAACCCGTCCACACAATCCACATTATCTCGAAAAAGGATCAAAGAAAATGAGATGCTACGAAAAACTTCGCACCTTCTTATCAAGTCGTGAGGCTGACAAAAAAGCAAAGAAAATTCTCACAGAATGTATCGGTTGCAAAAAATATTATTGTTTAACATGTTTTAATAAAAAGCATCCATAAGTACAATTAAATAAAATCGATATTTTTTTCCCATCACTAAACAATATGAAAAACTGCCCTTTTTCAGTGCGGTACGGGGTACATAAGACCCCACATTTTATTTTGCATGTAGAATCTAAACTAAATAATCCGCCCACGGGCGGCGGCAGATTTAGGTTAATCAACTAATTCATAATAATAATCGCGACAAAAACCGTACAAATCGCCTTATTTGGCACCAAAAAAAAGGATTTTTGTCTTCTGTGGGCGGTGAGGTTTAATAAGCCTCGTGTCGCTACAACCTCTGGTTCAGAACGAGGTTTCGTCTTGTAACGCAGTAATGGAAAGTACAGATAAATCAGTGCCGCTGCGAACGTGTTAACATATCTGTCAAAATAGCATTTAAAATGTGCCGCTTAATTTTTTTATAAGATATGGTTATTAAACGAGCACAGAGTCCACCTGATGGTAAGTGGTTGCTGTGGCACTGTCTATGTATCTATACTATATGCCTATGTCTACATATATCGTAAATTACAAATATAAATGCAAATGCGTTATCACCCGTGAGGACTGAGATAGAATGCTTCGTTTCTAATAAAAAGAGTTTCCGGTTCTGTACTCACCATACGAAACCCAGCAGCATTGAGCTGTTATTTTATGCTGGTATTCCGTGAGTTTGTGTGGTTCTTCCACGAACTTCGTACTAAGCTAGACTACTAATGTATCCGCAGCATGGCTCTACCACATAAAATATATCGAAATCACTATAATAAGGCAGTTACCAACCCGTAAACCACCAAGGTTCCTTTAGACATTTAGTTACTGCCATTATCGAATCAATTCAAATATAAAATTCTAGATGAAATATAGTGGATGTTAGGAAAATGGCAATTTCAATAGAAAAGCTATATCTGAGAATAAGGATGTTTTTCAAAAATGATTCTAAGTAAGGCTACAAGCTAACTCGCATCAGAGTATTGACTTACCTCTAAATCCTCTACTAACAAACGGAATTGTCTCTGCACACCCGTTTACTAGTTTAAACTTTACTAGTTTAAGTTCAGTAGTAAATGTTTACTGAATTTCATTTTATACAAAGATATGGAAATAATTGTTTTATCACGTAGTTTTTAACGTGGTAGCGCCATGCCGCAGTTATATAGTTGCAGCACGAATGGGTCAGTTCGACCGGGGAAGGACGACGCTCTCACAGAATACCGGTGTAAAATAGCAGCTTCCTGTAAGCTCTGACAGCGCGCGACATGTTATACTCCCGTTCGCTCGGGACCGTAATGGCGGCAAAATTTGAAAATTAGCAAATTTTTTGCTATATTGCAAATTTTGCTATATTTTCACTTTGAGACAATATTTATGGATAAAACTTACAGGAATTCTTGTTGAATGTATAAACTATCGAATAAAATTATTTTTGGTTGCCAGAAATTGTAATAAAATACGTAAATTACCCTGTATAGCACAGTAGTAGTATGTACTTCAATTTTAGTGACAAAATTACTACTAATTTGAATTCTACACTTTTGTTTTTAGGGAAATTTATATCAAATTGTTTGGAAATATGTATATTTTCATGTTTTATGTGTTTCCATTCGTTACTCATACCAAAATATAAAATATAAAGAAATTAAAAAAAATTAAATATTAATATTTTATCTGTGTGACATTTAGAACAATATTTCTAAAATAGTTTTGTGTGAATTTGAAATAAATACAACGTCAAGTTATTTGAAATATGTAAGAAAACTATTTTTACTTACATTTTACACTAAAAATAAATGAGAATGTGAAAAATACCACATTTATGACCCAGCCGCCATAATTGGCCTTCCAGATTTTGAAGCACTTTTGGCAATTTACTTTTCACTTTTTATACCACAAATTATATATATATGTGTTCACTATATTACAAGGAATGTAAAAAAAGTATAATACTTTCGTTTTTAGTCCAGACACAAATATAAAATTCTATAAAAAAAGACGGAACACCTTTATCAAAACGGCACGTGGAACGCCGAAAGTTCAGAGTGATTTCTTTTTTTTTTTTCTAAGAAACATCGCCAGGTTATGGTTTAAAATAAAACAGCATATCTTTGTCTTTGATACTAATATCTATTGCATAGTGTCTTTCTACTGTATTTCGTACGGTGAGTGTAGAGAACCGGCGACCCATTTTTTTATAGAAGAGGGGGCAAACGAACATGCGGCTCACCTGATGTTAAGTGACTAACGCCGTCCATGATCAACCGCAACACCAGGGGAGTTGCAGGTGCGTTGCCGGCCCTTTAGAAAGGAGTAAGCTCTTTTCTTGAAGGTCCCTAGGCCGTATCGGTCCGGAAAAATCGCCGGTATTAAACTATTTCACAGAGAGGTCGTACGCGGAAGAAAACTCCTTTTACTAGAAACGAGGCATTCCACCTTAGTTCTTAGGGTTGACAACGCATCTGCATTTTGATTCTTAATCGAGGATAAATGTAGAGGTCCGGTTCTGGTAGTTGTTTGTTGCGGAGTAATGAAGAGCACCGTGCAGTGGCCGAATTAATATCCAGAGGGAAACCATGCAGGAGACGGGCAGCAGCGTCTTCAAATGAAAACTTGGGGTTGCCAACCTGCGAACCAAGCGTGGCAACTGTAGCAAATATCTCTACTATGAGAAAATCTATAGAGAGGCCTGTCTTCTGCAGTGGACTGCGATGGCTGTCATGAATGGATGCACGAATGAATAAAAAGAAAGTGATGCAGTTTTTTATTTAAAATATTACGGATTATAACAAAAATAAAAAATATATAAAACCATAGCACTATCTACGATCCTGCACTACACGACTAATATAATTATACTAAAGAATCGCTTGGGTAATGTTTAAAGAAAAGTGAAAATGCTTATTAAAGTCATAATAAAAGGCGATGAAATATTTATTATTAAATCTAAATCACGCCCCATTTAATTCGTAGATGTGTTATTATTACTATTAATTTGTAAGCAAAGATTTTCGCATTTTGTAAACAGCTAACTAACACAACGTTTTCATGCCGTTTGATACAAAGATTGCGTGACGAATTAGTATAATTTGTTGGATGCGTCGCTGTTGCATGCCCTGCGAAAATGCGGCCAGCAATGTGTTGAGTCTTGATGAAGCATTCCACACTTGTGGTGGGATTTATTGCCTCGCGCCGGTAAACCGCGAACACCCGCCCACACGACATCTAATCCAGTGTTCCGCAAACTTTTTCTGTTCAAGGTACACCTAGGAAAACGAAAAAAATTTGAGGTACACCACAAATTAAAAAACAGTTTTTAACTAATCAACAAACCTAAACTTCAAATTTCAGAAAATTTATTTAATGCGAAACATGAGACTGTTTAATTGAGCACAGACGGTTTAAGTTTGGAGTTATCGCTGACAAGGCTGCTCTCATTTTTTCGTCGATCGTTCTGAGGCGTTTCCTTTTTTTGGTTTTTATCGTGGTACAAGTCGAAAATCCTAATTCACTCAAATAGGTTGTTGCAAACGGTAAAAGTATTGCAATAGCATGCTTAGAAAGCAGAGGATATTATTTTTTCACACATAGCCAAAAATGTTCTAAATCAGTTTCAGAAAATTTTAATTTTAATGTGCGATCCGTTTTCATTTACATCTGTTCTTCCTGCTCATTTATTGGTAAGTGACTGAAAGGAATGTTCTCGGAGAATGGATTTCGAACCCAGTCCATAGGTTGCAGATCACGCTTAGGTAAATAGAAATTCATTTTCTCTGCAAGAAGCTTTAAGTGTTTGACAATCAAAGCCTGCACCTTTCGTTCTTTGTCAGCTGCAATGACATTTGGGAACATTTCATTATTACCATTCGTAGCGAGACTGATCCATAGTTCCAATTTAGCGCGAAAGCTTTCAATTTTATCCGACGATGTCAAAATATTGGAATTTCTGCCTTGCATTTTTCTATTGAGCTCATTTAAGTGAGCAAATATGCAAGTTTTGCTAGCCATTCTTCTTTTTAAAATAAATGTGCATAATCTGAACCCTGGGACTGCAAGAACATCTCAGTCTCATTTTCCAACTCATAAATTCGGGAAAGTACTTTGCCGCGAGAAAGCCATCGTACCTGTGTATGAAACAAAAGCGACTGATGATCTGCCCCCATTTCATGACACAGTGCATTAAAAATACGAGAGTTCAGCGGTCGCGACTTGATGTAATGACGATTTTGATAATTTCTTGAAGAACGCGCAATAGAACGTCAGGCATAGACTTCGTCATAAGAGCTTCCCTATGTAAAAACAATGCTGTTTTTGAACATTAGGATTTTTTTCAGCAACCTTAGTATAGTACCAATGTATCTAACATTTGAGTTGAGATGCGCGTGACCACTGATGTCAGTGGACTCATCAACTTGTAGCGCAAAAACTCCACTAACTCTTAATTTTTCAATCAACGTCGATTTAATGTCATTAGATATGTCATTGATTCGGCGTGAAATCGTTTCTGCCGATGCAGGTATTTTTTCAATTTCTTTAGCAGCTTCTTGGCTAATCATTATCTTGACAATTTCTTTGCAGACAGGTAAAACTACAGTTTCAGCAAGAGAGTGCGGCTTTTTAGCTTTAAAAAAAACATAAACACTCACGCCTGTCACCCAGAGGGGTAGGCAGAGACTACAGACTTCCATTTAGCACGATCCTGACATACCTTTCTCGCCTCTTCCACATCCATATACCTACGCATACATGCTCGTCGGTTAAGGGTACTCTTAATTTGGCCCATTTTTAGTATATCGCCAATTTGATAGACAAACTTCCGCCTAGGACGTCCTTTTCCGACTCTTCCATTCACTTCTGCAACATATATTTTCTTTGTCAGTCTTTCCGCATTCATTCTTTCTACATGACCAAACCACCGAAGCATTCCTTTCTTAATCCTGGTCACCGCATCATCTTGCAAAACACACTCTCCTTTTTAGCTTTAACTATCATATTAGTGATCACGTAGCTTGCTTTTTGTGCTATGTCTGAGGTTTTGAAAGATGAACTCGTGAGATTTACCTGCTTCTTCGATTGGTCCTTCAAACGTTGAAAATACGTTTTGTCTTTTTGGGCTACTGATGGGTGTTTAGTAGTTAAATGTCGTATTAGTTTACTGGGCACCATCGAATTATTACACAACGTTTCTCCGCAAACAAGACATTTTGGGGTAGGACAAGATTCGTCTCTGCAATATGTAAAACCGTATTTATGTACCTTTCGTCATATTTTCGATGAACAATTTTGGGTTTCTTTTTCATTGACTCTTTTTCTTCTTCGTTACTTTCACCTGACAAACTTACACTACGTTTAATGAATTTATCCATTATTTTAATATTTATTTTACGCTTAGAATAATAAGCAGCGACGAAACAAAAGCGTGCGGTTAAACGGCGCACTCGTACTTATACTGACAGACTGGTGAGCCAGAGAGTTCGGGTAGCGGGGCGGGGAGCCTCCGTCCCCGCCTCCCGCGATGCGCTGGCCGCCGCCGCCTGCGCCTGACGAAACCACAGAATTAAATGAACGAAACAAAACGCCTCGCTCGTGCGTTCGCGTTTTTTGTGTTGGTATTTTACTTACCCTTACTTACTTACTAAAAATAATTTTATAAGATAACCTTAGGTTCCACGGCACACCAACTAATGATCACGGTACACCAGTGTGCCGCGGTACACACTTTGCGGAATACTGATCTAATCTTATATCTTATCTCGACAATATCTTATCTCGACGTTAAGGAAATACTAATCTACAACTAATGTAATCGCGTATATGCAATATAATGACTACAAAGTATTTAATACTAAAGGCTGAGAGAGATGTGGCTCTTTTACATCTATCCTCGATTGAGTATCAAAATACAATTACGTTGTCACCTGTAAGGACTAAGGTGGAATGCCTCGATTCTAGTGAAAAGGGTTTCTGGTTCTCTACACATACAAAACAATAGCATTGAGCTGATATTTACGCCAGTACACTGTGAGAACGTTTTCAAGCCCACTCATTTGTGCTTCTACCGCAATAAAGCTGCAGCGTGGTCACGTATGTTGAACATATTTTAAGAACATGCACACATACACATAGACATTTACAATAATTTGTAACCAATAACAAGATTTTAGGTGCGTATGTGTGCGTTCAGCAGTGAACTCTTATGTGTGCGTCAAGGAATTGAGCATGGATTCGGCGACATTTAAAATGTACGCTGGGCTCCGTCTATATTTCTTTGTTGGTCTGACTTTGGTAGTACGGAACTTGATCTTTATCTGTATATATTACAGAGTGATTCGGAAACTTTAATAGCGTGATTTAGACTTTGACAGTCGTTCAATCCGAATGAGTTATTGTGGAACGGTAAATCTTATGTGTGCGTCAAGGAATTGAACACGGAATCAGCGACATTTGAAATATACACAGAGATCCGTCTGTCTTTCTTTGGTAGTCTGAGGTTGTAGTATGGAACTTCGGTCTCTATCTATATATATTGCAGAGTCATTCGGAAATTTCGGCAGCGTGATTTAAACTTCGACAGTTGTTCAATCCGAATAAGTTATTGTAGCGCGGTGAATGTATAGTCACAGGTCCATGTCCAACAGTGGACTAAGCTTAACATGAACTATCTAAATTATGAAGGTTTAAAATAATATTAGTTGCTAAATTGGCGTTTACGTAAATGAATTTAATATAAATGCGGAATTAAACTCCTATAATTGTGTTTTCACGTGTAAATTATATTACAACAGCTATACTTAGTCATATCGTGTCATATAAATGGCTCACCGTAGCCATTCATCAACAAATTTGTACTGGCAGTATAAATATTTTGTAATATTTTTAATCGTTATATTATTTACTTGATAATTCACGAGCCTACGTGATTTATTACTGCGAAATGGAATTGCTGACGGCTGCGTTGACAGATTACCAAATTGTGTATCATAACCACAAAGATTAAATGTGTAAATACGCGTAAATATGACGATGATGTGAAATGTAATATGAAATGAAATGTATAGCGCTTTGCTTTTTCTCCTTCTTCATAATATTAATAAGAATAAGGTGAAAAATAAGCACACAGTCCACTTGATAGTAAGTGGACGCTGTGGCTCATAGACTACTTGTAACTATCACTGTGACTATAACTACATTTTATTCGTGATTAAGAATCAAAATGCAGATACGTTGTCACGTTTGATAAGTAAGATAGAATGCCTCACACCCTGTCAAAATACCCGTATAATCTTCGGACCGTAACACAGCCAGTCGCAGTAAAACGATGGATGCAGTGCAGGTGACTCGGGACCAAATTTGTGCATTCCTTGGTGTAGGCCTACGTTCAGTGGTGGACTTGTGAAGTTAAATATATACAAAATCAATAGTTAGCAGACCAACCCCCAGAAACAGCACCTGTTCACAAGCATGACTTTAAACATTTAAAGCTTAGTGGGTGACCCGTCACAAACGTTGGCGTGAGATATTTAGTCCTATAAATTTTGTACAAATTTTGTAAAAAAGCAAAATGTTTATTGACATTTTTGTAGTAAATATTGGAATAAGCAACATTTTATAATCGAGTCACATATTTAGTAACATGTTGAATAGTTGCAAAAAGATTTAAGAGAAAACAACACGGAAACTGTTTCTGCGCCATCTGGCAAGCGCGACGCCCAACAAAACTTAAAATAAAACAACAGCCGCAAGAAGAATAGAATATGAATTCATAAGATAAACTTGAAAAAGAAACAATAAAATGAGTAATAGTTGTATTTTAGTAATAAAGATGAAAAAAAGTTTACTTTATTTTTGTGTTTATGATGAACATGAACATGAGACTCGTAAGAAGAAAATGTTGGTGATCAGTGGTAACACACATGTTATTTTGGTAGTTAGGTAGTATTAAATAAGGTAATTTTGCATAACGGCTGTTTAAAATATATTAATCATATTAATTGGTTAATTCGTTTTCGTACCTTAAAATATTCATTCGCTTACATCTATAAAAAGTTTTAGGACCTGAATTTCTTCTGTTTCTATTTTTTATTTTAAATATTTTTGTGGTATAAGGCTATAATTGATGACCGAGCTTTGCTCGGTTTTTTAAAATTACATTTAGATAAAAATTACACAAATAATATCTTTTGATCTTATTGACATAATAGAAAAAAACTGAACTGGTTATTTGAATTAAAAATCATGAGTGCAATTAGTTTAATTAAAATATTCCGTATTTTTAAAAAATACTAAAAAAATAATAGAAATTATAGATTTTCTCACAAAAGAAGGGAACTTGAAAAAAAAAGGAAAAAAGTCGGACCGAAGACAGGACGCGAACCAAGGCATTACGATTTCACGACCGCTCGATATCCACTTGAGGTGTTACGATCATTAACACAATATCAAAATTTACCTTCTTATATTGTACCAGCTTTTCGTTGCCTAAAAACACGTACAAAAAGACATTTTCTAAAAATAAGCTCTTAGCTAGATCGATTTATTGCCTCCGAAACTCCCTGGACACTAAATTTTATGAAAATCGTTGGAGCCCAAAGATGTTTTAGTTGGAGCCATTTCCGAGATTCCGATTATAAATATATATATACAAGAATTGCTCGTTTAAAGGTATAGGATAAACAAACACAAAGTTAAGGGTGAATCTTGAGATGCTCAAATTACGTTGTCCGGAGAAAAAAGTACCCGTAATGTTAAAATTTGAAAGCAAAATATTTTTTATGCCATTATAATGTATGATCTAACAGAGGCACGATAGTTTTTGTATTTAATTTGGTACGAAATAGTCGAAAAAAAATCCGAAAGGTATTGATACCCCTGGCGCGTCCGCTTCAATTTCAACAAAACTACCAGGTTTGTTGTTGATATATAAAAATGGTTTTAACAGAATCGATAAAAACATCCCACTTTTTGATTCCATTGGCATTGATTCCCTTGGTATTTGCGCCAGGGTTATC